CATTAATTTTAATTTTATTTTCTAATGCTAGTAAAAGTGGACTAATTAGTAACGCGGTAGCGTTACTAAGTAGGATTCACCCCCAAACAAAATGGCTGCCACGACTTTTGCAGCCTTTAATTCATGTACATGTACATATACAAATGTACATGTTGTGCATTAATTAGAACTCCTTACTAAAAGCACATCAGCTTTATTCCCAGTGTTGATCCTCGCTCTGTCTCTAGTGCTAACATGACCACTCATTATAAGATCCTCTATCTCTTTGTCTTTCTTCACTAATAATTGTTTATATTTTATCAGTTCTCCTCTGAATATGTCTCTCTGTTCTTCAGTGGCTGACAGGTTCTTCTTCATTGCCGTTAGCTCATCACGTAGATCCAGTGCAGTTTTACCAGCATAATCCACTGTAGAATCAACATCAGTTGCTACATAATAATAATAATAATAATAATAATAATAATAATGGTATGCTGGTTAAGAACTAGACTGTCATTTGCTATTGTTAGAGCATCCATATTATGCCTACGTGGAGCTCGTTCCAAGTGGCGATCCATTAATACACCTGATGGAGCCACACTTGACTACATGCTACACTAATTACATTATTATTTGAAGCTTTGAAGCTGATTTTCTTTTAATAGGTACAAATAATCCATTTTTGTAAACTTGTGTAGCTGTTTATAATTAACATAAATAAATAAATAAATAAATAAATACACTCTACCTTTGACTGGTGATGATCTTTTAGTTGATGGAGAGTGACGAGGTACAACAGATTGACGTGGTGGAGCAACAGCTGCCAAATATGGAGAACGTACTAAAAATAATAAAATACTGTAAATAAAGTTTTCACAAATTTTGTCATAGCATTGGTTCACCTATTGATGAAGCTCTTTTAGGTTTAACAGCTCTGTGTGTTGGTCTGGGGGAAGATGGTGGCTGTATTATCAAAGGAGGCCTAACCTTCTCATCATTATCTTCACCATAAAGAAGATTTATCTGTAATGGAACAGATATGGGCTACCATAGCAACCACACAACACCCTCTGATTGTAAAAATGTCCTCTCTCTCTCTCTTTCTCTTACCAGTGAACTTGATGGAGTAGAGGTTTCTAGCATTTCGAATATAAATAGGAATTATAGTTAAAATTACTAATTAAATACATCAAGTTCAATCCAAAGCCAAGGGGACAAATGCTCCTCCCACAAACCCTGCGACTAATTTGAAAGGTATAACGTAAAATGTAAGCCCCACCCATAGCCCCACCCCTCAGTATTAATTAGTTATTATGTACCAATGGGATCATCATTTATCTATTTGCTTTGTGGAAGGATCCAATTTCCTTATACTTGTC